CTTTTTACCGTTATTTTTTGGGGGAAAAAACGACGTGTGGGCCGACGGGCCCATGCGGGCCTACGAGCCGTGTAGCAGCCTGGGCCAGGTTAGGCCTCTCCTGACCCGGTCCGGGCCGACGAGCCCGGACTGCTGCACGGCCCAGGTCAGGCCTCTCCTGACCCGGTTCGGGCCGGACCGGCCCGGGAAGCCCGCTCGGCCGGTTAATTTTCAGCCCGGTCCCCGACCAGGCTTTTTTCCGGCCCGGACCTCCCATGTTTACACGTCTAACAATGACTATAAACGAGTAGTGTGTAACAGTAAAATTCAATGTTAGTAGGTTCTATACATTTTTCATAGAAAATTTAAGCATAAATGGAATCATATTTCCAATTAAAACCAAATTCCCATCTGTTCAAAGGCCAAATGCGATGCATATAAGCAAAAAAATAGCATTAAAAAAAAAATTCTGATGAGTAATTTCATCAATCAGCTTGGCTGCAAGTTCAATTATGTCACTAATTATGTACCAAGTTGCAAAAATTGATCAAATAAGAGTAAGTTCAATTTCCGATTTAGTTACCTGAAATTCAACTACAAGCAATGATATAATTTGAGGTGTAAACTTTCGATGTTTTGTTGACCTTTTTCTCACGTGAAACGAAGTGGCTGGGCCTAATATATTTATATTAGTATGCGTGTTATTTTTTCTCAAGGGCTCCAACCTTTTCAATTTACTTTAATCGAGCACATGATTATATTCAAAAATTTCATTAATTTCCTAACTATATATTTCATTAACATTTATCAAAATTGTTAAAACTTTATTACAAAATCCATCCCCACCCCCCAGCCAAATCCGCCCATGCTAGGGGTTGGGGGCGGATTTGGCGCTAATTATTACAGTATTTTTTTTCTATTGAATGTGTTCAACATGGCCCAGATCCAATAAGATTGGTAGAATTTTTTTTTTTTTTGAGGAATTAGGCTGGGTGCTCTACAAATGGACAAATTAGATCTTGAGCCCTGTTCCAAATATTACCTCAATCCCAGCCCAAAACCAACAAAAGTTTGAAGCCCAATTAATAAAAGATTATGGGATAATTAGGTGGGAAAATTACACAAAATCCTACCTTTAAACTTTCAAATTCAAATATAAGGTATAGAACTATTTTTTTCAAAAATCAAGTGAAAAATTAAATTTGCAATAATTATAAAATTAAATTAATTATATACCTAACTCATATACTATCAACCCACTTCAATTTCAAATTCAACCCCTAATCTCTCTCTTCTCCATATCCCTCCGTCGCTCCATCTCCGCCTTCTGCGACTCCTTAGCCACCGGCTTCTAATCATGTTCCTGGCCCTTCACCTCCTCTACCGGCTTCTTCTCTTACTCCGACTCGACTTGCTGTCGACTCTCCACCATCTCCTCCTCCATCAACGACGACGAGAAGCTTCGCCGCCACCGACGTTGCTGCAAGCTAGTTTGATTTTTTTTCATTTCACGAAGATGTTGTTCCGATCTTCTTGAGATCGATGTTGTTTCACGAAGATGTTGTTCCAATCTTTGATGATCATCATACCGATCGGTTTGGAGGTAATGCCAATCGACAAAGGCATCGTCGAATTTCATTCTTCTTTTGTTCCATTTCGCTTTCTGCTTTGCATATAGGCAGAGAAATGGTTCCACTATGATTCCATTCCCTTTTCTGCTATGCAAATAGGGAGAAAAATTGTTTTAGCTTTTAACACCCGATTTTTATAAAAATTTCTTAATCACCTGATTTTTCAAGAAGCAGCAACACCCAGTCGTTGTATGTACAAGTAGACGGACGCTGCTTCCTGGTAGTTGTGTGTACAGTGGTAGGTTATGGTAAGGTGGTGCTATTAATGCGATGTGCATTGTGTGCAGTGGTAGGTTGTGGATCTATCTAGGATGGTTTGCAATGTGGATGGTTGTGGGTATGTTGTTTATCAATTTTGTCTGTTTCACCATAATTTCATTTTCAAGCAAGTACAAAGAACATGGTTCTGCTTAACTGGTTTTCCGGGAGAGATTATTATAAAGCTTTCAAGATAATTGAGAAACTTAGAAAGGGTAAAAGTTGGCAATATAAGGAAATGTGAAATTAATGGAATTTGTTAAGTGATTGGGGTTGGGGGCTAATTGTATGTACAAAAATTAGTGGAATTTGTTAATTGTTACTGGTTGTGACAAATTCTGTGTTAATTGTGACTGGTTGTGATTTGATCACATACCATCACAATTAAAATTGAATTGGTCACAGACAGTCACACCGAATACAAATTTGGTCACAATTGGTCACATTTAGTCACGTATGACACGTGACTTGATATTTTTAATTTTTGAAATTTTTTTGAAAGGTAGGGGTGAGGTAAGTGAATCCATAGATCGGAGGTGTGATTTCTAGTTTTTAATTTTTGGAAACTTTTTGGAAGGTGGGTGGGTCAGTAGGGTGGTGTGATTTTCAGATTTGAATTTTTAAAATTTTTTGGTGGGGTGGGCGATGGCCGGGTGGGTGAGGTAGAGATAATAGTGTGATTTTCAGATTTAAATTTCTGGAAATTTTTTGTGGGGAAGGGTGGGGATAACTAATTATATATTATATATATTTAATTGGAATTAATACCTGAATTTTGAAATAATTTAGCAAGTTTGTTAATTTTGAAATATGATTTTAATACGTATGATTTATGTATTGTTCCCTAATTAGGTCCATTACGGTAAAAAAAAAGAAGTAATTAGAATAATACATTTAAACTTAATTATATATCTAATTACAATTTTAATTACGTAGTGCTCAAATCCATCCGAAAACACAGGCGGATAAACCATTCCTTCATGTCTAAATTTTTCTCTTCTTAAAAATTTTATTATTAAAATATTTTCATTTGATATTGTATTTTAAGCTACAGTTATCCATTTTGAGCGAATCAAAAATTTGTTAGAAGCTTACAACGCGTTATGGACAATATTTAAAAATAAAAAAATTATCTTACATAAATTATTAAATGTAAAACTATGATTATTAATTTTTCTTTTTATTTTTTTCCTAATCGATATCAATGTAAAAATTTATAAAGTTTAAACCTTAATTATGAAGTTCATTTCTTGTGGCCATTTTCGACTTGTAATTATGAACTAATCGTTTATTGATTTTAAATTCGAAAGATGTATTTCAAAATTTCTCACTTCGATAAGATGACAAAAACCTCACTTGAAAAATGAAGAAGCATAGCTCTTAAATAAGTCAAACATTTATTTTTTCCCTTTAAAGTGATATGATATGTCACTTTTTTTTTTTTCAATTTCTGTCTTTTTTTATTATTTGTCACCTTTTTTTTTTATTTCGTCACTTTTTTTAGCATATGTCACTTTTTTGAATTTCTGCAACTTTTTTTTAGTGTTTATCTAAAAATTCTCTATTTCTTTTTAAAATTTATGTCACTTTTTTGAGTATTTGTCTTTTTTTAAGTTTCTATCTTTTTTATTGTGTCTCACTTTTTTTTTCTGTTACTTTTATTGAATTTGTGTCAATTTTTGGAGTGTTTCACTTTGAAAAAAAAAAATCTATATATTTTTTAGTGTTTGTCACCTTTTTAATTATTTGTCACTTGTTTTGAATTTGTGTCATTTTTAGAGCGTCATTTTTTTTTTTGAATTTTGTCACTTTTTAATTTCTATCACATTTTTAAAATTTTTGTCACTTGTTTTGAAATTATATCATTTTTTGGAGTGTATGTCACAATTTTTTTTTTATTTCAGTCACTTTCTTTTGTTAATTTTTTTTGAGTGTTTATTATTTTTTTAAATGTAAATTATAGTTGTAAATAAATAATCTTGCTACAAGAAAAGTTATAAATAAGTTATTTATTTAATTTACTATCAAAATAATTAAATTTTTACTTGTAAAAATTAAAATAACAACGCATCTAATCCTGTCCTTAAAAAACTTAGAATAGTTTATTGGACCAATGTCAGTGTTGCAATAGAAGTGATCGATGTTGAACACCGTGAATGGACAAAAAATGACCGTATTTTTTACTTCAAAATAAAGTCCCCAATTTATGGGTATTTATGTAATTACCACATTGAAATCCTAATACATTTGGAAATGATATTTTCATGTTACTTTTCCATTTTCATTCATAAATTTATGTGTTCTGTTGGTAGAAATTAAAATCAAATTAATAAATTTTGATAAAAATTGATTAAATTTATGGTTAAAAAGTTATGAATTCATAAAATGTGCGGTGCGGTTAAAATTAATTGTTCAGACTTTAGATTTGACTTAGATTTTACTTCTAAATAAACATCAAACATGGCTGTAAATAGTATTCACACGTTTTCATATACTGCATTCAGCAGAGGATAAAATCAAGAATGGGGGAAGATACACACGTAACCATTTCAAACAATAGACCGAAAAGATTGGCTTTTTCTCTATCTAGGATCTGCTGTGTAATTATCACGTACTACTATATAAATGATTGCGTGTGCCCTTGTACAAATGGCGTCTTTGCTCCATTATTTGCCTCGAATTCTTAGCCGAAGGAAAGAGAATTTGAATCGCCGTCTTCTTCTTCTGGTTCGTTTTCGCCTACGCCGTGTTGTTCGTGTTCTAATTCGGTTTCGTTCAATCCGAGCCCGACGGCAGAACTGGAGTTTTGTCAGTATTTCTGGTAAATTCTTGTTCTTTCTCTTGTAATTTGATTTTGCTGGAGACAATCATCCCTTTTTTTTATACCTACCAGTTCCTTTTTTAGAATTGATTTAGTTGCATCAGGGTGTGTATCGTTAGTAATCTAAAGAACATTTGAACTTCTTTTATTCTTTACTCTGAAAGTATTACACGAACCTCGCAGGCAGAAACAATATCTGGAAGCCTTAAAACCTCAAAGCTCTAGCCATGAGTACAACTCAAGGATATCTTGCATCACCAAGGGACATTGTTAATGTGGACAATGAACCTGACCATCTTCTTGTTCTTGTTCACGGCATCTTGGCGAGGTATGCATATTCTTGTATAAGAAGAAGCAAATAAGAATCTTTGCCACGTCCACGAGAGATGATCTGCTTGACACCATCTGGAAAATGTATAAAGGATAGAGCTTCCAATTTAGTGTGTACAATAGTGGTGGCTTTCAATGAGAAAGGTATTGTAGAAAGCACATAAGAAGTAGAAAATAGAAAATATGTGACATGAGACAAGACATGCATGTCCGTGCCTTCCACTCCATTTTTAAGGCTTTCACTTTAGCTTTATTTGTCTTTGTTATTGTTTTCTTCTTGAGTTGGTTTAGTTTTGGTTGAAGAAGTCACCTATTAACAAACAACAAAAAATGTTTTAAACAGTTATCAAAATGACAAAAATATTCTAGAATGATATTGGTTGATTTGATGTTCTTCTCCCAGTATTATTTAATGAATGTCATATAGCGTCAAGAATGAGCTTTAAATGAGGCTAGAACCTGTTTCCTATTTTTAACTACAGCTTGTCAGTTTCTAAACATGTTTGGCTATTCTACTTTTTTCTTAGTTAGACGAAAAAGTTGCTCATTTTGTTGGGGTTGGTTTCAAAATAAAGGACCTACTTGAAAAGTGAAATACTTGTGAATTTTTAAGCTTAGCCAAATGTGCAGCACTATATCATCAATAAACATGCTAAAAACATTGACAATGAAATTTTGTGTATTTCTGAATGTTTTAATCATTGACTTTGACTAAAACTATCCAAGTATTGCAGCCCAAGTGACTGGACATATTTTGAGGTGGAATTAAAGAGGCGATTAGAGAAAAAGTTTTTGATCTACGGTATGTTGTCTGTGCAAGTTTGAAAATTTTCTTTTCACTTTACTAGCACAAGATACATTATTATTTCTCTGCTTGACAAAATATAATTGCTTATTCTTTGTTTTGTCAAGGAGTAAAAATGAATTGGTTAAGATGGAATGGATATAAAATTGACAAACAGCACCAACTCTATCTGAAACTAACATGAGCAAATAGGAAGAGAATAGGTTCATGAGAAGGCCTCACAAAGCTGAGGGGATTGTCCAAAGTACGAATTTATTTACTTAAAAACCTGGATTGGCCCAAAATACATGTAGATGCGAAGGTGAGGCCATAGGGTAATGTATGTGTTTCTGCTTTCCCATTTGGGCATTTCAAGAATGCAAACTTTGTTCTGTAGCAAAACTAAAAGGCTAAAAAGAAAAAAAAATGTACCTCATTTGCAATGTGTTGCTACTTGTATTCTTGTGATGTTTGCCTGGGAGAGAGGCGTACTTCCTGTCTCATTGAATGTCCCTATTTTGATACCGTATCATATTCCGTACTGGACATTCAGTGGGATGTGGACTATTTTGGAGTTATATGGTTATGACAGACAATGACAGAGTAGTATTGTATGAGAGTTCGATGTTTCGAGAAAGTATATGCATATTGCGAGGCAATATGGTGACTGTTTAGGTGCATATTTTTTATGAAGTTTGCAGGTGTAGGCTTGGCTTGCAATCAAGTGGCTGTCTTTAAAAACATATATCTACTTGTCTTGCAAAAAGGAAATGGCAGAAAAAGGCACCTATATTGAATTTCACGAAACATGGTATCTGATGGACATATAAGATTTTGATACTGCCTTGCACTTTTCTTTCTGTCTTTTCTGTATAGATATTTTGAACGTACCATACTAGATTCGAGTTAAAATACAAATACACTGCTTTGATGTTCGTTGAGTTCTGGATGTCTATTCAGGTCTAATAGTAACTTGCCTATCGTGTGCAGCAAGTTCATCTAATATGTACACTAAAACCTTTACTGGAATTGAAGGAGCTGGTAAACGACTAGCAGATGAAGTGAGTTTTATATGGCTTTTATGTTCCTTCTTTATGGCGTAACTTGGCTTATGAAATATGTATTCTGGTTTTGATTAAGAAGCCATTTGGGCCACAAATCTTTATCTTTTAGTCCATCAGTCTGATCCTTCTGTCAATACTTGACCTTTTCTAAATTCATGTTCTACAAGGATGATATCGTAAAACATTTTTTAATTTTCTTGATACACGAGTTTTGCTATAAACAGGTCACGCAGGTCGTGACAAGAACAGAAAGCCTTAAAAAGATATCTTTCTTGGCTCATTCTCTTGGTGGATTATTTGCAAGATATGCAGTTGCTGTTTTATATGTTCCCAACATCTCTCTGTCTGATGAGATGGCCAGCTCCACTGATACAAACTTAAAAACTTTGTTCTCTTCAAGTAAAGGTTTGATTGCTGGGTTGGAACCAATTAATTTTATTACCTTGGCAACACCTCATCTTGGAGTGAGAGGAAAGAAGCAGGTACGTTGTCAAGGGAACTTTTCTGTTACTTGATGGCAATAATAACTCGTATTTTATCTATGTACATTTCATGGAGTTAAATGAATGCTTTTTTCACCCTTTCTGTGTACTTTGTACATGCTTATAGAAAAAGGAAAATAAGAGTTTCTCCTGAAGAAACGGAGATACAATTAGGCAAACTTGAAGTTCTCTCCGCTAGATTAGAATTGTCAAATTTCATTTAGATTTGATCCAATGCCCTTGCTATGTGTTCCTCTTACGAGTTTTTTTATTCTCTATCTCTCTCTCTCTCTCTGTGCCCTGGTTGTTCTTCAAGCTGATGAAACATTGTTTTTTTTATCATTATGGTCGAGTGGCAGCATCTTCTCCAGTTTGCCATCAAATTCATCTTTAGCAAAATTTACATGATTTTCACATGGACTTTAAGCTTTTATGAAAACTTAATCATCAATATTAGTGGTTTGGAGCTTGACCTCGGGACAGTAAATTCTTTCGTATGATTCAGCTTCCATTTCTTCTGGGTGTGCCTATCTTAGAGAAGCTTGCTGCACCAATTGCCCCCATTGTTATTGGCCAAACTGGCAGTCAACTCTTCCTCACTGATGGTAAACCTAACAAACCGCCTCTCTTATTACGAATGACGACAGATTGTGAAGATGGAAATTTTATGTGAGTAGAATTGGCCTTTTAATGTTTTTTTGTAGGGTGACTGTAAGCTTATTAATACTTCTGTTTTGTAGATCCGCACTCAGCGCTTTCAGATGTCGGTTTCTTTATGCAAATGTCTCTTATGACCGTATCCCTACATAAGTCTTATTGAATTTGCAGTGAAACATGTCATGTAATTTGTATAGCGTGTTTAGTATTGGTCACTAATTAGCATCGGAAACTATTAAATTGTTCTTATTGTCCCATTAATTTTTGAAAGTCTTTAACACAATCCAGATATGGTTGGTTGGCGGACATCCTCCTTGAGAAGGGAGACAGAACTTGTCAAGGTAATTAAATTATTTTATGTTGAATCTGTTACCCACAATAACTTTATGCCCTCGTTTGAGCTCCATTTTTTCAATCAAAAAATGTATTCTTGTATAGTGATTTGACCCTATTTCAACCACACATTTTTCAATAAAATAATATTACATTTTTCCTTATTTTTTAATTACACATTCTCCATTATAACACTATTACAAAATGCATTTTTTGAAAAAAAAAAATGGGGCTCAAACAAGCCGTATATATGTCTACAATTGTAGATATGAGTTTTAGTCATGACAAAGATGGAAGGTTATTTTTTTAGCCGACATTAAATTTAGTGGGAACATTTAACTACAGTCTTGCGATAAAGAACATTAATTGCCAAGCACATCTTGAAAAATAGTTCTATGGTCTAGTGATTATGTCATTGGACTCTGACCAATAGCCCGGGTTCGATTCTTGGTGGGACCTTTATTTTTTTTGCCTACTTTGGATAACAAGTGCAGTTTTAGGATGGTAAGTGAATTTTATACTTGGCCCATGTTTGGGCTCATTGTTTTCAAAAACTCATTTTCAATCTCACATTCTCCTATTATACTTAAACCTAAAACTTTTCCTTATTTTTTATCTATACATTCTCCAAAAAATAATTATTCTAGAACACATTTTCCCCACAAAATGGGGGTCAAACAGGGGCTTAATCTGATCAAGTCATTGAACTTAAATAGCAGTTATTATAGGTACCTCCTCTTAACAAATGGTCCCATGGTAAAAAATTAACATGATGTTGTAAGTAATAATGCTCTAGCTGCTCTAAATTTCCCAATAAAACTAGAAATGAACAGAGTGGAATGGAGAAGAAGGATTTGCATAGCCACCCAAAATTTATTTAGGATGAGGCTTAGTTGTTGATGAATTTATATATTTCATCCAAGTAAAAGATTAGGAAGTTTTATTTTTGACCATTTGGGATAAATATAATGGTTTGGCAAAGTGGAGAAAATAATACTAAACTACACAACATTGTCATTAAGAACATTAATTGCCTAGCGCATCTTAAAAATGGTTCCATGGTCTAGTCGATATGACATTGGACTTTCCAATAGCTCGAGTTCGATTCTTATTGGAACCTTTACATTTTTGCCTATTTTGGATAGAAAGTGCAGTTTTAGCGAGGAAAGTGAATTTGATTCCTAATCTAATCAAGTCATTGTACCTAATAAGAGTTATCATAGGTACCTTCTCTTCTCAAATGGTTCCATGTCCAAATTTAACTTCTCGTAATTGATAAGGATCAAGTTTCTTTAATTTTTTAGCGTCCTAGTTTGTTATTGAATTTATATATTTCATCCGAGTAAAAGATCTGGAACTCTTATTTTTGCTCGGATAAATATATTAGTTTGGCGAGGAGAGAAAATGAAGAACTACACAATCGTTCAATTAAGTACATTAATTGCCAAGCGCATCTTGAAAAATGGTTCCATGGTCTAGTGGTTATGACATTGGACTCTTATGTCCAATAGCCTGAGTTTGACTCTTGGTGGAACCTTTATTTTTGGCCTATTTTTGAACAAGTGCAGTTTTGGTATGAGAAGTGAAGTTGATTATTGACCTAATCAAGTCATTTAAGTTGAATATTAATAATCTAATCAAGTCATTTAAGTTGAATATTAGTTATCATACAAAACCAGACTTTGAATCTAGTGATTTGAGTTCAAAAATTTCATTGTCCTTTCCAAAAGAATCTGAAAGAGGAGACCTTACCGTATCCTATGCATGGTATGTGGAACATTTATTGGATTCTTATATGCTTAAAATGTTGATAAATGAGTTGAGTTTGTATTTGGAAATGCTACCCAAGTAGATAAATTGTTCCATGATCCAGTGACTCAATCCTGTAACGCTAGTTCAAATATTGATGAAACACCTTTTTCTTCTTGGAGATGGACACCAAATGCTACAGTCACTGCTAGTCAGCGACTCAATAAGTTGCTCGCCATTTTTACCTCAAAAAGGGTATCAAAACTCTCTTTGCATATAGCTAAATCTGATGCTGTGTTTTACTAATATGTATATTCCTCTCTAAACACGCACGAACATTTTTGTGTCGAAATGAGCATGGAATCTTATCTTGTTCAATTGTGCTTTTACTTTTTGGATGAAAGTATGTGTTGTATACTTGTTGGTAAAGCAGAGACTTCCCATTGCTGTACTTTTCGCATGCACTTATTGGTCATACTTTTGAGGAAAAATTGATCGAACAACTTTGTCTAAAAAATTGAATAGGATAATTATTAGCTTGTGGGTTCTTTCTTATCTACTCTGTTTCTTTGTTTTATCATTTAGGCTACCATAGTTTTTCGGGGGGGAAATGTTAAACCTCCATGCACAGCTTCTGAGATTATTAATACATTTCTGAACTCTTTAGCCATTTTTCATAAGAAGGATTGGATAGCTCTAGACATAATATAAGATAAAGAAGCTAAAATGCTGTGTAATATTGTCCACACCTATCTAGTAATGCATACCAAACATGCACTTTGTGTTCCATCATCACTCTTATAAGATTTCTGATATTGAAATCGGCAGCCTCATCGACGGTCATTGGATGGCTACAAACACGTTGTCAATGTGGAATATTATCCTCCAGTTCTATCCAAGGGTCCTCATTTCCCTCCGGAAGCAGCCAAAGCGAAAGAGGCTGCTCAAAAGGAACCGAGCCCTCAGAAAACAAAAGAATATCATGAAATTATGGAAGGTATCTATTCCATATCTACTGATCCAACTCCGTAATAGTACTTATTTCACAGCCATCAAGGGAAATGACAGTTTTTGTATTCATGACAGAGGAAATGATATTTGGTTTACAACAATTGGGATGGAAAAAAGTTGATGTCAGTTTTCACACTGCATTTTGGCCCTTTTCTGCCGTGTTATTATAAGTACATTCTAACGGCGAGAAAAAAATAAAAAAGGTTTGTACAAACTCTACAATGAAAGTTAATTATTAAATAAAACTTTCATTTAAGAATAAATGAGAGTTTTATTCATTGAATTGTTATAAACCGATAAACGAAGACTAAGACCGAAGATTATACAAGAATAAAAGTTTAAAGTCCACTTTTTACTCACCAAAGTATTACGACCTCGTCCTCATCAACGAGTACAACGTCTGTGGTATTTCGTTGTTCTCTTTGTTCTTCTTATAAGATGTATATAACGACGCTCAGACATTGAGAGTAACTGTAGAATAAATTTTTTGGGTTTTCCTTATAAATTAAACATTCTCTTTTGGCACCTTCAATATTTTAAAGGCATTCTATTTAAAATTTTGTTAATTTCTTCATAAATAGAACTTAAATATTATATTAATTTATGAGAATCATCCAATCGAACCGTAGGAAAAATGAGTCTTCTTTGTGGTGAAATGTTAATGTTTATGGATGAGAATTTAAGTGATTTATTTATGATCGGATGAAGCTCGGAAGAAACTAAGTGGAGGTTTGAATTGGTTGATATTAAAGAATCAATCAAAAAGAAACTTCTATTGACATCGTATTAGTGCGGGAGCCGTGTACGTATATTAGTTTTAGTTTGCATCTTATTCGTCTAATCTTCTGTTCTAAGAATGTATCACTCAGTTCTTTTTTTTTTTTTAAATTCTATGGGTGGTATTGGATGGATGTTCTCATTTGATAAAGCGATTTGTCAGTAGAGGAATTTCGGCTCCAATATCCAATTTCCGGGCTCAGAAAAACAACCAAATGAATCACCAATCTTTAAGCTCGATCCAACAATTCTCTACACCTTGGTTGCCTCAGTTTGATCCTCACAAAGGAGACACTTGGTGTTGGGATATGCAACCCACATAGGGAGGAAGGAGAGGAGAAGAACAATGATTGAATCTCACCAAGAAGCTCACCTCAAACCCCGCTGCCTCTCCTCTCCACACTCTTGCACACACTTCACCCCACACACAGAGAACCGGCTGTGAACTTTGGTTATATGTAGCACTAATTAGGTCACTTAAATTAGGCCAAAACATATTACTAAATGGGTCAAGTTAATGGGCTAACAATAAACCAAAATCACATACTAATCAAACTACCAACCCAACATAAACTTAGGCCCTCCAAAGGTGTATTAATTGTTTCTGAGTTGAGCCGTAACTTTTGGTGTCGCTAATATAATTCGACAACTATTTTACATTATTGCTCGGATTTATTGAATATCAAAAAACCCAACAATCAGATTAATTCGTTTAACGAACGTAACCTCGGCTAACTAAATAACTATGACGAGGGACTAAGTACATTTTAGGCGCGGAAATTTGAGATAATATGGTTATAGATGTTCTTAACGTGTTAAGTATAATCTAATACAGAGTATAAATGTGGAAATTACACCCTTCCCTACTTTTAAAGATTCAAATTCTGAAATCAGATTTCATGTTTTTTTTTTCAAAAGTACATATTTTTTATATTTAATTAACTATTAATATTTTAGTAATTAATTTCATCCCACCAAACCCTAATTACTGTCACTTTCTCCCCTCTATCTCCCTTTCTCTCTCTCCCTTTCCCCCCCTCATTTGCCCCTCCATCTCTCATTGCCTTCGAAGTGGTCAACACTCCAGCCAGCCCGAATTCATCGAAATGGGCGACGCGTCTATGCACGCAGAAGAAGGTAGCGTGTGCACCGTTTGGAGCTCCCATCGCCACCAGCTCTTCGCTGAATCGGCCCTTCGCAAGCTCAAATGCAATTTTTGATGACGTTGCCCTTACTTGCAGTAGCGTCACGGCGAGGGGTGAGGCCGCTTCTTCTCTGCTGAGCTCTTTTGGCCGACGCTGCTGCGAACGACACGAGATCGACTCCAATAATGGTAAGTTTGGTGCGGTGGATCTAGTTAGCAGTGCGGTGTGGCGATGCTGCTACACGACCTGCGGTAGGCGTTCGATCTGGTGGTGCTGAAGTTTTTGGGGGTGGTTTTCGTTTGTTGTATTTGCATTTTTTGGAGGTGGCATTTATGTTGACGGCGCTCGTGAGGTGTTGGTGTTGCTTGTCCGATTGACTCTGCTAACACTTTGAGAACTATGCATTTGATGCTTCTGCTGCTCCGGCAGCATAGTATTAACAGAAGCAGATGTTAGTGGAGAATGTTAAAATCATGGCTTCTCCTCTATTTTGTTGGTTTTTATTGGTTGTTGGAGTGGTTTTTATTTGATGTATCAGGAACTTGGACCGCATAATGGACTAATTGTGACTGCATAATGGATTAACTGTGACATTAAAATTTGACAATTTGTGACTAAATATTAATATGAGCCAAGTGCAAAAATATTTTGTAACCTGATCATTTGAAAAAAACTCGTGACTACGAACAAAATCATGATTTGTGACCTGAACTGTGACTTGTGACTTGAGTTGTGACCCAGACTGTGACCTGGGCTGTGACTTGTAACCTAAGTCGTCGGAATCGAAGCAGTCTTCGGAACGGTCACCGGAATCGGAGTAGCCGTCAGAATGATAGCCGGAGCAGTCGCATGAATAGTCATCGGAGCGGTGGTGGTGGGTTATATATATGTGTGTGTGTGAAAATATCTGATTTTTGAAATGTGAAAGTTGTTTTGTTATTTTTGAAATAAGGTAAAGATAAAGTAGAAGAAATGAATTTTTCCCAATATAAATTATATATTTGACCCTTTTTTTATATCGTAGATTTAGTGTGTGTTTGGTAGGGATTTTTTTGGGGAAGAATTGATTTTGAACAGTGATATGATGGGAAATGTGTGGTTGAAAAAGAAGATAAGATTATTGATGTGATAGAAAATATTATTTTATTGAAGAATGTGTGGTTGAAAATGAGAATTGATTTACTGTTGAAAATGAGAATTGGTACCAAACATAGCCTTAGTGTCTTACTAAACTAATACCATTATAGCAAATCCATGTGCTTACCAACACATTGTTACAATTGGACTATGCGGCATCACTTTGGACGGATTAAAATAGTTACACGAATATGAGCCAGTATTGAAGTTGAAACTAATACTTTTGGTGGACAATACAAAGTACATGTCTTTGGATTCTCCATTCCATTTGTTTCTTGCGAGAACATGCTTACTATATATTTCAAGACGCCTTAAAGCTGAAAATTCACCAATATCTCATTGTAGAAAAAAGAAACAAAAAGAGAAAAAACCATTAACAATGGCAGAAAAGGAAGGAGGAATTGTGAAAAAGGGACATGATGAAGGGTTAAAAATGGCCATTTCCATTCTTGAAGAGTTTGAACTCCCATCAGGGCTTCTCCCATTGGCTGATGTTATAGAAGTAGGTTTTGTGAGGAGCACTGGATACATGTGGATTCAGCAAACCAAAAAAGTTGAACACAATTTCAAGATGATTAGCAAGCTTGTGAGTTATAGCACAGAAATTACTGGGTTCGTCGAGAAGCAGCGGATCAAGAAACTCAAAGGAGTTAAAGCTAAGGAGCTTATGCTATGGCCACCAGTGAGTGAAATAGCACTCGATAATCAATCCACTGGAAAAATTCACTTCAAGAGCCTTGCAGGAATCACAAAAACTTTCCCGGTCGAGGCATTTGCTGCTGGCCAGTAAGCTTAAAAGCTACTTTTAAGATTCATAGCATGCTTAAAAGTAGCTTCACTGGCATGCTCCCAATCTATCTTTATTTTCTAAGATCCATGAAATCAAGTACTTTATGGATTTATAACTTCTCGATCTGATGTTCTTCTGTTTGGTGTGTGCTTCTTCTTTTAAATCCCTGTTTTGATGAAATTATCTCAAATCAGTAGAAAATAATACGATCATACAATTACATAAAAGGATTTTAACTTGTTTTCCCTCTTTAATACTATCGAGTTCTGTTCAATCTCACCTGAAAAGGAAAATCACTGACCATAAACGGAAGCATGAATGGAAGCTAAAATTGGTGCAACGAAATCTATACATAAAACATAATTCAAAACCATCATCTTATTGACGGCAATATAACGTGTCCGCGTTGGCCCTCTTCGATTGGGACAGGGATGGGCCCCTCTTCGAATGGGATGGATTATGAATTAAAACCCAATCTAATCCAACACATCCCAATAAATTTAAAAAATTAATATTTAAAATTTAAAAAATTAAATAGACACAATGGTTAGATAGATAATGACTTATAATTTACAATAAAGCTACTTACACAGGCTTAAATTCAAGTTGAAAAACAGGATTTGAAAAATCCAATGTGGCATGAGTCTTTGGAGGGAGAAAATGCTTTATTGGGACCACAATTATAACACTCAAACTATTCCGACTGTGTGGATTTTGATTGGTCTCAATAAATCATTTTCTCCCTCCAAAAACTCAAGTCATGTTGGATTTTTCAAACCCCCGTTTTTCAACCTGGATTTAAGCCTGTGTGAGTAGCTTTATTGTATAATTTATTAACGTTCATTTTTTTTATTTTTTTTTATTTTACGTAAATTGATTAACATGAATACTATGCACAAATACAAAGTTATTTAATCATGAAATAAACATTGCTCTTGATGATGAAATGAACGAATACCAAAAAATTGTAAAAAAAGAAAATAATCATAATTTTCAACTTATTTATACATTATTTTTCAGAAAATATCCCTTGTATAGGTTTTAAAAATAAATGAAGGTTTTCAAGTAATTTCAAATTGTCTAAATTCAACAAAAATTATTTGATTTCAACTTTTATTGGGTCGAACCCCAAACCGACCAATTCAACGCAAACCAACCCAAACTTGATCAGTTTGGGTTGAGTTAGGTTGGGTTCAAGCCAATAATTGGGTTAGATTGATTTGATTTTAGATCAAACCAACCATATTAGGTTAGACTTTGGTTGAGTTGGGTAAGAAAAAAAACAATCCAACCCACGCCCACCACTAAATTGGGGAATATGATCCTCTTTCAAAATCCACACATACCTTCATTATTTCTTTACCGTAATTGAAATTTACCTGATTTTTAAATTAACAATATTAAAAAAAGGTAATGCGGCGTGAATATTTTAAGGGTAATTGGCGCAAAACGTCCCTACCTTTGCCTATCTTTGTGAAAAACGTTCATACCTTTCGTTTCTTGACGCAGAACGTCCATACCTTTCACTTTTTTTGCGCAAAACGTAATTTTCCCTAATTTTTAATATAAAATGACCGATATACCCTCCAATTTAAATAATAAAAGAAAAATAAAAAATAAATTGCAATCTGCTCCTAGACTTTTTTAAAAAGGCAAATCAATCCAAAACTTATGAAAATATTAAAAATAACAAAAACACACACTCTCTCTTCTCCTCCACCTCCCTCCACCACCTCCACCCCGTCGTCGCGGCCAAAATTTGGACTAACCATCAAATTGGGGACTGATATTTGGCCATCTGTCCATCTCCCATCCTTCTCTCCCTCCCACCACGCTCCATTGATCCTATGTTTTTTCCAAAATTCTTTGTACCTCACCATCCCCCTGTCTT